GGAATATTCAAACATTGGACAGTTTTCAATTGGCATTCATATTGCTTAGGCCCCCCAAAAAGGCATGGTAAGTTCTATTTTATATTTTGGCGGTAACATACTGTGGTAACTTATCATTTTATGATACCCCTCCTCTCCTTACCACCGAGAGGAATTCTTTTTCCACCTCCTCATTATCAATGAACTAGTCTTACATTCTCGTCCACATCGGGTTTCCTGTAATACATTCTGTTGTCCTGGTCATATAGTTGTCCTTAACTTTATATCGTCTAACCAGTTCTTCACCGTATTACATAAGTTTGTTGACACTCCGGTAATATCTGGTTATTGACACATGTACGCCTATTCTGGGATTTGTCCTTGCCATTAGGTACATCGATATTGTGTATGATTGCGCAGAGGTTTGATCATAGCTGACGACAGGAAATCCAACATGTCACTGATATGGTGTTAATGTATTCTCTGTAGTATGTGCAATAAATAACGTCGGTTAGTTACACAGTGAAGTTTAATATGACACTTTACTTTAAAGAATGCCTGAAGTTAAATGTGTCTGTTTTACACCTGATGTTTTGTATAAGCGCCGTAACTTGATATCGTAATGTTTTGAAGAAGCGACAGATGGAAAATATCGAACAACATTGTTGGTGTCTATTTATAAAGGACTAGTCTGTTCTGTTTTATATGATGTTACTCCACATTTGTTACGAAAACTGTACCAGCACAGAAAAACGCACTCGTCTTTACCATGACGGCCGGGGTTCGATTCCTCTATCGGACGTGAAAAGGTACAGGGTCACCTGCCCATTCATGTAGGTTTTCTCCAGGTACCCCATTTGCTCATGCATCAAGACTTTGCTGTGCGCTTCCATCCGGGCAATCGAACGTGATTTATATAAATAGATTAAACTCGTTTTACTGTTGTTGAATTAATTTCAGGTAAACATCGTTGATAACGAACAAATTCCGACCGAATTAAATGGTTTAATTATGAAATGAATCAGCACTTTTCGTTTGCATATATTGTGTCAATGCTGCAAATGAACCATAAAATGGTATGCAAACTGACAAGTATCGCTTTTTGTGTATTCAACTTTTAAATGAATATTTATGACGTACATCATTTGTCTACCGCTATTTGTGTTGTTATACGCTTGCTGGTCATCTTATAAACAGGATATTCGATATGTTTCAGTAAAAAATATGCTTTCAAATTACATTGGTATTTACAGTTGTTTTTACAAAAGGTTAGCTATATATATTATATACGTATTAACGAATTGGATTTCTACTCGGGAACCATTTTTCCGTCCTTTAACAAGGCCAGTTCCTGGAGACATAACTAACCACACCTTCGCTATCTAGTTTACGGTTCTATATTAACTAACCTGCATGGGAATTCAACGGTTATTTCACTATTCCGATCTGTGAATGGCTTTATTATGGTGATTTGATATTGTTTGTGACGAGTTTTTATAGTGGTAGAGTGAATTTTTATTGTAGATATTACCTCAAGAATAAATTATTAAATTAGACCTGTGTTTATCTTCCATCAGTGATCAGTGCAAGTTGTACGCCTCATTAACTCTGTATGAGGTGTACAGGGGATGCTGTGTACTTGGAACCTGGGTTCCCACACTTTATGACAGCTATGGGTATGGCACATGTACATAATTATGACAAGTCATTGTCAGAAAGTGCAAATACTTGTTTGCTTGATTTTTTTACAATCAATTTTTCATGGTATATTTAAAGTCAACTTCATTTTTTCCGGATACAGATTATTTTTAATTGTTTGTGATTGAAGTGAATCGCCTTTTTATGGACATATCTGTTTCCTGGTTTTATAATTTTTGATTTCAATCAGTGTATACAGCTGACATAGGACTATTTTTCTCCATAGTGACGGCCGCGTCAGGTAAAGGTACACGGGGAAGATATTCTCCATGACACTTTAACCCGATGCGATTTTATATTAAATATTAAGCATGTTAGATTTAATAACACTTCCACTTAGTCAGTTCGTAGTACAGATTCAATAACACCCATCTTAGTCATTTTGTGAGACAGATTCCATAATATTTAGTAGAACATATTCAACAATAACCCCCTTAGTCAATAAGTAGAACAGATTCCATAACATTTACATTTAATGATTTAGTAAAACATATTCAATAATAACCAACTTATTCATTAAGTAAAATATATTCAATAACACCCCCACTTTGTCATTTAGTAAAACGTATTGAATAACAACTCGCTTAGACATTAAGTAAAATATATTCAATAACACCCCCACTTTGTCATTTAGTAAAACGTATTGAATAACAACTCGCTTAGACATTAAGTAAAACATATTCAATAACACCATACTTAATCATTTTGTAAAACAAATAACAACATTCCCATTTCGTCATTTTGTAGAACTGATTCAAAACACCTCCATTTAGTCATTTAGAAAAACAGATCCCGTGTCACCCATACTTTGTCATTTTGTAGAACAGATCCCATAACACCCCCACTTAGTCATTTAGTAAAACATGTTGATTAACAACTCGCTTAATCATTTAGCAGAAGGTATTCAATAACTCTTGAACTCAATTCAGTAGTAAAACAGACTTTGTAACACTTCCATAGAATTCAGAACCTTTAATATTAACCTTATTATAAAGTAGAACAGATTATATACCACTTCAACTTAATTATGTAATAGAACAGATTTTATAGCATTCAGCTTTATGATTCAGTAGAGACCATATTCTAAAACACTTAAACATAAGTCAGATTCAGTAAAAACTCACTTCATTATTTATTATAACAGAATGTTAAACACTGCATTTACTCATTGATAGAACACATTCTATAGCACTTCAATTTAACACTTTAACAAAGAACAAGTTTTATATTATTCCACCTTCATTGTTTTAGTCAGTAGAGAACTGACTATTTGACTATTTAAAATAATTCAGATTCTGTAACCTATTTAATTATGTAGTAGAACACATTTAATAGCATTTTAACTGTATTATCAAATACATCTACTGTAGAATCGTTTCAACTTAAAAATGAAGTAGAAAACAAAGTTTATATTATTTCAACGTAATAATTGAGTAGAGAACACATTTTATAATACATTTCATCTTATTTGTTAGGTAGAAAGATTCCACAACATGCCATCTTAATGGTTCATTAGAGATTTTAAAACATTTAACTTTTCACTGAAAGAGATTGTATAAGACAATATAATCCAAAAGAAGATAAAATATTTAATAAACTATAGATATGTCGTAATTATTTTGGGAAAAAAGAAAGAAAGAAAAATTGATACTATTCGTCAAAATCTGAATGTGATTACCTAGTTGTAATAATGACGAAACTATAAATTAGATCAATGTATATTGGGTCTTTGGACTTCAATTATAAAGAAAATACACGATAAACACATATTTCCGATGAAGTATTAGACCCCATCATAGTGTACAAAATGTGTATAATTCAATAAGATCGGCAGCTGATTAAGACAGAGATGCGTTTTAAGTGTTGGGCATTCCTCAAGACTTTTAGGTATATGCTACCAATCTCGAGATAGTTTCGTGTACGTGACTGAACATGTGAGAATTTAGCCGATTAGTTTTGTATTCCAAAAGTAACACCGTAGAAAGTGGGTATATGCATGCCGTGCTGTTGATATGTTGGTTTTTAGTATTTTAATTGGATGACATTTTAGGCCTGATTTAACTGATTTAAAGTAAACATGGGTGAAGTTAGACCCGTTTCTCAAACAGTAATGTATTTGATGACGTCATAACGCAGTTATATTAACCAACTGTGTTGGTTTGCTATAAGACTTTTGTAATGACGAAGAGCTATGGATTCACTGCCGTGGTTTGCTGTTATGATGCCAAGAAAGATATTATCCCAGGTAAGTAAGCGTTGCACCAAAACTTCGAGCATATTTTTAAAAAAAGTTCGTAAACTCGGTTTACAATTTTTGATATATCTATTTGGTATTTTTCAATGAGAGTTAATTATATATCACATGAAAAATCGGTTGTGACTTATCCTGAAGTACTCAACATTTATCCTATATGAGCGTTATTTTTATTCTGACCTTAGATAGTATTTAAAAGGGCTGGTCGGGGGGGAAAAAATATAAAATAAATGGGTCTAAATACGTTCTCTGGCCTTCCAAAAGTTATACCACGGTCCCCCAATATGATGTTCGAGTTCTGCTTGCAATGTCCAGTTTTGACCACTGAAATCTCGAAAAGCCCCGCGTAAATTTAGCGCAGATCTATTTATCTATCTCACGTGGTTGTTTCAAAATAGAAGCAGTGAAGATAACAACAATAGCACGCCGTCATGTGCCATGTCGGACTCAACTAGCGGACAAGACAGCAATACTATACGTAAATAATTGTTTTCAAAGGTCATGTATGATGCAAGTGCAGTATTCCCACCTATATGTTGTTGTTATATATAACGGTATTGATACATCGTGCCTGTCATGACTTTTGCATGCATCTTTTTCTTTCGCCTCGATGTTTACATTTGGCCTTGTTGATAACGCGCGTTCGGTAAAATTACATCACTGATCTGGGTCAGTTGAGAGTGTTAGACTGTCAGGTGACGATTTAGGATTTCTTTAATATAATTATATCTTTTACTCTTATGGAGTGAATTTCAGCAAAATTTGAATCGGTATATTTCATAAGAAGGTATTTCAAACATGTGTATGCCATTTTAGCAAATATGACATTTTTTCCCCGACCAGCTCCTTTAATACTGATAAAGTATAAGATAAGTCACAGTGTTATCGCCCTTGTTCATTTCGTCATAAATACTGAAACTAGACAGTTTTGGCGATTGTTTATTTCCGAGGTTCATATCGAACAGAGTGGAACTCCGCGTAAATTATTTAATATTTGTATAAATATATTTTTTCAATGTCGCTATATCAACTATGACGCCGTAGTAAAAAAATAACAAATATGTTACCATTAAGATTAGGATAAAGTTGATTTAATACACATTTTATTTACATTTTGATCTGACAATATTACAAAAAAAAGAACCATTAAAAAGAGTTACTGAGTATAAACACATAGATCACACCGTATAACGTATACAAAACACTTTTGATTTCTCTTCAGATTTGACAATAAATTATGTGACCTGCGCCGCCATTTTTGTTTTTGGTCACAAACACCGGTCACGTGATGTCTCCACGATTGAGACGTTCCCCACGCGAGTCCAATCTGTGATAAAATTGAATACTTATGGAACATATAAAACTTGTCTGATAGTTGAATATAGATTGCACTGATAACAGTGAAACAGTTCACTCCATGTCTGTAGCTTCCCTTATAAGTCAATGTCGGGTCACGTGATTGTCAAGGGACGACTTGCATGGAACTTTTAAGCAACCGAGTCTGTGGAATCTTGTTGCGTGGAGCTAACGTGTATGGAATGACAAATGTAGCACCTTCGTGGAAAATAGCACAAAATACAATGTAGGCTTGGGTTCAGCAACACAGTGAAATAAAACAACACTTAAAGCTGGGGTAGGCAGCAACAATCCTTTGGACAAAATGTGCCTCTGTCTGTCTTCATATCAATTCCAGAAATAACGAAACAAATTGACGCCTTTGTGGTAACAACGGTACCTTTACGTCAATAAACAAGTTCTGTCTGAACGTCCAAACAAATGTGTCTGCTCGTCCGCGTGCGCATGCCAACGCCTGACAAAGTCTGTAGAGACAGTATATCGCCACTACCCAGGCCGCCATGTTGAGATGCTCCATTAGGTCTCCGGATACACATGTTTGTTATAAAGGACATTTCATTTTCTTACGTGTTTACAACATACATGTGGTTCCGGAAATTGGTGGTCATACAGGTGGTACCGGATGGTGCAAACGGTGGTGGTGGTCAAGTGGCGGGGGTGCACAGAGGTAGTGAGGCGGAATAGGCTCATTTTTCACTAATGGCATCGATGTGAGATTCGTGCGCATGTCCTCGATGAGTTTAGCGGACATGTCGATGTCTCCCCGGTAGTCGTGTGGCATCATCATTGGTGGATTGCCACACATCTGCTGGTGGTGGTGGTGATGGTGGTGGTGCTGCGGTGCTTGGTGGTGGCCATGGTGATGGTGGTGGTGCATGTTATGCTTCATACCGTCGTCCATCAGGTCTCTGTGGAATACACAAGTAAAATATCTCTTCAATGTTTACACTAGTACATCACTGTATTAATACTGCCCTATTGGGCGAGGTCGTATGTAGTACAGTATTATCGCAATACCACCCTCTAGAACAATGGTGGATACCAGTACATTGTTATAAATGTATTTTTATGTAGGGCAATGTTATAAATTTATAATACTATGCATGATAATATCGTAATATAGTCACGGTTGTTCTTTCCGTATATTATTATATGGAACGATAACCGCCTATAATACGATCATTTATTACCCCTTTGAGAAAAATCTAGGAATCTGATTGGTTAAAAATTACAGTGTACCAAACCGCATTCGTAAATCTCAGGGGGTATACGGTCATGTCACGTGATTCTCAGCAGTAATACGGTGGAATCACGTGATTTTACAAGGGGTATACGGGTCACGTGTCTTTGTATCTTGCGACCGGGCATCGGGAGACAACTCGCATTCGTCGTCTGCTTCGCTGTTTACAAAATGGCAAAACGTTTCGCTTCGCATACTGATGAGGAAATACTCGCCAAAAGGGCTAACTATGTGCCACATAACACACAAAAGTCGAACAGCCGAGCGGCAAACATGCTGAGGACGTATTTAAAAGAAAAGAATCAGGAAGAACAGTTGGAGGAATTTGATAAAACGAAACTAAATGAGGTACTGTGCCTGTTATTTTTCTTAACGGCCTCAGGAAATACGAAACCCTTTAGGGTCATACCATCCCGTATACCCTGCCAAAAACCCGTGTAACTAATATTATTGCAATTTAGCTGTTTATATATATCTCCGACCATACTGTTGAAATGGATCTGAAATATATCATTCTTATTACATTTAATTTCATCAGCTCGCTCAACGCTTATTTTCTTTCACTAATGTACAAATTTTAATTTTACGTTACCAGATATTGCTGAGTGATGAAAACAAATATATATTTTAACTAAAACAATCAAGAGTGTCGTTAACAGCCGAGCCAAAATAACGCAGATTCCAAAGATGTGGCCAGAAGGACCTATAACAAGGATAGTGGCGGTGATTTGTCAAATGACAGAGGTAGATCCTAGATCTCATGTCCATTATTACTGCATATGTTATAATTATGTTGTCCTATTAAATACTATATTGTTTGACTTAAATGGCGAAGGTATACCACGAGGGCCACCAACACACACGCACAGTGTTACTACTGGTATAATATCAACACCAATGACATTTGGTTATTGATTGAGTTGAGTTATACGCGGGTCGTGTTATGAGGAAGTTATCTGTAGATGGGTCGTGCCCGAAGGTTGTTATTTGTATGGGGGTTGCACGAGGGCTGCGTTCGACGGTAGCTATTGTAGGGGGAGGGAACACGTGAGTTGCACTAGGAGATGGTTATTTGTATTGGTCGCGTTCGTATGTTTTTTTATTTGTAGAGAGGAGTTATACGTGGTCCATTCGGAGTGGTGAACCTGTATGAGGGCTGCGTTTGGAGGCTTTTATATGAGGGGGAAAACACATGCTGGTTGTGTTGGAAGCTTCATACTTGTGGGGATATAGTACATGTAAGTCGCATTCAGAGGTTAGTTGTAGAGAGGAGTGCACGTGGGCTCGCGTTCGGAGATTGCTATTTGTAGTGAGAGAGTACACGTGGGTCGCGCTATGAGGTTGTTATTTGAAGGAAGAGAGACAACATAGGCCACGCTCGGGAATTTTCTCACGGTATTACACAAATTGCTATAAGGGAAATTCTTAAGCACTGTACACATAATTACGTCAGTTGGCAATTGGGGCGAAGTCAAATTGTAACGAAAATATGGAAACAATCACTTCAAACGAGGATTAAACAATGACAAATTGTGCTTAATGGGGTCGTGGCGAAGAGGTGTGTGTGAGGCCAGGCTCGCGTGTGACGTAGCTGATGAGCGGGACAACGTGTGAGGAGGCCTGCCACTCTAGTGGCAAGGCCGCCAACTTAAACAATGATTACACTAATTAAAACACACTAGGCATCCTGCAAAATGGTGAATATCTTCCTGTTTGTCTGCGCTCAGATTCGCGGTCCCTGATGGGCTGTGAGGGGCTACAAGGGGACTACAGGGGTCGAAGGGGCCAGCGAGTAGGCGTGTGTTCTCTAAACGAGGTCCACCGGACAAGGGCAATTGTCGCGGCGAGAGAATGAGGAAACGAGAATCGATTGAATGGGTCTACGTTGTGTAGGCTTGCGAACCCTCTCAAAACACTTCAATGGCATTTTCTTATTTAAACCTCGCAACAACATCCTGTAGACTGTGTGTTGAAGTTGAATATGAAACAATACATTTAAGCGGGTCTGGCTGCCGTGACATATAAATAGCTCGGTAGGGTAATTCAGTAAAGTCATCGTTTTTTTATGTCTATATTTGTATATACCGTACGTGATTTTCGTGCGATCGTACTTGCTTTTTGAAAGGGAACTGTAACCACTCACTTTCATTTTATCAAATCGCTCTTCAAAATTCACAACCTTCAATAAGCGTTAATTGAACGACTTACTTTTAAGTAGATAGTTCATTTAAAACAACAATAAAAGTTGTTGTTGCGCATTATCTTTGATCAAAATGCGAAATAAAATGCGATACTTTAACGGTGGTCAACATTTTAAATATATATCGTGTGTATATATGTGATTCTGTGTAGAGGGTACTCATAAGCGGACTCATTAACATATAACGTTCACATAAAGTGAACACGTTGAACATTAGACTATGGTCAAAGGAAGCTAGAATTATGCTCCTAAACAACGCACCTAACAAACCATCTATTATTATTATTTCTTTACGATCCTTAACCATGTTTGTTTAACGCATTTAACAGGAAATTAGAATGGAAATAGTTAGCAGATTATTCTAGCTTTAATTGATTTTTTAAGGAATATCTGCTACTTATTATAACATTTTAAAGTCATTAACATGTAGTTTTAAAGAGAGTATGATTCTTAAAAAAAGAGTATAATCCTCATATCAACTTACACTATTTAACAAATTCAAACTTAACACATGATAACACCCAAACATATACATAATAACACAAAAATCTACGTATACTAACAACTAAACCTACACATAATACCGCTCAAACCTACTCATAATAACACCAAAACCTACGCATAATAACACCTAAACCTACACATAATACCACTCAAACCTACACATAATAACACCAAAACGTATACATTATAACATCCAAACTCACATATAATAACACCAACATCTACGCGTAGTAACACCCAAACCTTCACACGATAACACCCAAACCTATACATAATAACACCCAAACCTATACATACTAACACCCAAACCTATACATACTAACACCCAAACCTACACATAATAACACCCAAACCTACACATAATAACACCCAAACCGACACATAATAACACCCAAACTTACACATACTAACATCCAAACCTATACATACTAACACCCAAACCTATACATAATAACATCCAAACCTACATATAATAACACCCAAACCGACACATAATAACCCCCAAACCGACACATAATAACACCCAACCTTACACATACTAACATCCAAACCTATACATACTAACACCCAAACTTACACATAATAACACCCAAACTTATACATAATAACACCCAAACCTACACATAAAAACACCCAAACCGACACATAATAACACCCAGACCTACACATAATAACACCCAAACCTATACATACTAACACCCAAACCTACACATAATGACACCCAAACCTACACATAATAACACCAAAACCGACACATAATCACACCCAAACCTACACATAATAACACCCAAAACGACACATAATAACACCCAAACCTACACATGATAACACTCAAACCGACACATAATTACATCCAAACCGACACATTATAACATCCAAACCTACACATAATAACATGCAAACCTACATATAATAACACCCAAACCGACACATAATAACCCCCAAACTTACACATAATAACACCCAACCCTATACATAATAACACCCAAACCTACACATAAAAACACCCAAACCTACACATAATAACACTCAAACCGACACATAATCACACCCAAACCTACACATAATAACACCCAAAACGACACATAATAACACCCAAACCTACACATGATAACACTCAAACCGACACATAATTACATCCAAACCGACACATTATAACACCCAAACCTACGCATAATAACACCCAACCCGACACATAATAACACCCAAACCTACACATAAAAACATCCAAACCTACACATAATAACACCCAAAACGACACATAATAACACCCAAACTTACACATACTAACATCCAACCCTATACATACTAACACCCAAACCTATACATACTAACCCCCAAACCTATACATAATAACACCCAAAACTACACATAATAGCAATCAAACCGACAAATAATATCATCCAAACCGACACATAATAACATCCAAACCTACACATTAAAACATCCAAACCTACACATAATAACACCCAAAACGACACATAATAACACCCAAACCTACACAAAATAACCCCCAAACCGACACATAATAACACCCAAACAGACACATAATAACACCCAAACTTACACATGATAACACCCAAACCTATACATAATAACACCCAAACCTATACATAATAACACCCAAACCTACACATAATAGCAATCAAACCGACAAATAATATCATCCAAACCGACACATAATAACACCCAAACCGACACATTATAACACCCAAACCGACACATAATAGCACCCAAACCTACAAAGAATTACACCCAAACTCACACATTATAACTTCCAATCCTACACATAATAACACTCAATCCTACACATAATTACACCCTAACTCACACCTAATAACACTCAAACCTACATATAATAACACCCAAACCTATACATAATTACACCCAAACTCACACATAATTACACCCAAACCGACACATTATAACACCCAAACCTACACATAATAACACCCAAACCGACA